CTAGCTAGACGTATGACGTAATTCTCAATTTTTTTCTGTAAAAAAAGTTTCTTCCCATAATTGTCTTTACAGGTTATTTATTTTAGTGAAAACTTTTTGAGTGAACAATTCCATCTATGACCATTTTCTGTTTAGTTTCAAAAAGTTCATTTTCAAAATTTCGATACATACAAAAAAAATTTTAAAAAAATTAAAGGAACATATTTTTATTTATCAATTTTTTTAAAATTATTATTATTATTTTTTTTTTGCTTAATTTGTGCAAAAATTTCATTGCTGAATTCGAACTATTTTGAGATCTATATAGCATGAATTTTAAAATTTGATTTGATACATATGATTACGTCAAACATTGTGATCTAAAGCTTTAAAGAAAATAAATCATGCTTGAAGATAACACTGGCAGACAAATTTTTTGCTGTATTTATACAAATACTTAATCTTGCCTGATTCGGGAGTGGAGAGAAATTATATTTGCTCCTAATGGCAGAGATTTTTAAATGGCAGAGATACATTTTATAGTAAATGTAAACATGAAGGCTTGTACTCATGTCTAAATGAATGCACCCATGAAAAAGACATGAAGAATAGCTTATGATATTCCAGAAAATTGCATTTAAAAACTCAACATGCATTTTTTAATATGCATGATCAACCAGAGTAAAATCATTAAACTTGAAAACCATAACCAGTTTAAATCCGTAATAAAATCATTCTAAAAAGCAAGCAATAATGGTATTAATTAAACGTTAAAAAATCATCGTTTCATTGCATGATATTAGATTTATGTGGCAGTTACAATAAAATGTCATATTAGTCAAGAATCACTCATTTACGATTTGTTTTACAGCATTAGAAGAACAGGTATTCAGTTTATAACTGATAAAGTTAATAAGTAATAAAAACATTTCATTATTATTTTCCATTATTACTCTGAGAAAAAAATTACTGTCAAAACTACCAGAATATGGTAAAATTTACCGTGTTTCTGGTTCTATGGCAACACCAAAAGGTATGATAACTTTTATCGAAGCGCTGTGGTAATTATTTTAGTAAAATTAACAAGAAAGCATGGTTATATGTAATGTGATAAAATTTTGTAATTTTATCCAACCCCCGCGCCGCGGATCGGTATCGGACCGTGGTTTGAATTATGCCGGGGTGCCCAAAGGACTTGAAATTATTTACATTTTATTTGCTGTGGTGTATTTTACCCGGGTTTGTACAACTTCCGATTGACAACCGGGTTACAATCGGTTAACCGGAAGCTCAGAAACGTCACCAATACAGCGTATGTAGTTGTACTTCATTTAGAATACACGTTTAAAAACAATTAAATTAAAATTATTTAACAATTAAATCAAAACAATCACGGACAGCTGCAAAATTATCAAACGTTGACCGTCCGCAGGGATATAAAGGTTGGAGAGCATTACGTAAGAGCATCACATTAAAACCAATTATTCGGTTAAATTTATTTTTCAATTTAGTATATTTTACTAAACGTTTGGCAATAAGAACTATAATTTTAAAAACCAGAATTTGAGGTAAACCGTTATCATATGAAAGGAAAAATTACCAAATGAATGGTTTAAATATCGTATATTTTGCATTTTACGATAAAAATTATGTTTTTTTTTCAAGGAAAATGTCATTGCCATACAATACGGTAATTTGCCAGATTTTTCTTCTCAACGTAGATGACTTTTACTGAATTTTAATTGAAAACAATATTTTTCAAATGCTACTGAATCGTATGTTTGGAAACACCGGCAAACAAACATTAATTTTAAGCACTGCGATCGTTATCTTAAAGCACGGTAGTTTTAAAAACTCGGAAAAGAGATCTGTATCAGATGGTTCAACTAATTACAAGATAGATGAGAATGTAACTATTATACTCAACTTACATGGCTCTTTCAATTACTGCAACCTTAAACAAATAGTTAAAGCATTTTCTTTCTTAGTTAAACAAACACGCATATCTTTCTTTTAGCATAAACTAAATATTTGATTTAAATGTAGATTTTTGAAGTGAGATTGCCAATAAATTTGTGTAATATGTATAAAATAAAATATGGTTAAATATCTTGATTTAAATTGCTTTCAGTTTGGTAGTTTTGTTTATTCTTCTAAAGTTTTGTGTATTTATTTCAATTAATATCTGAAGAGGAAATATTTAGCTATTTATTTGTATCAGTAGTCATATTTTATAATACTACTAAGGGGCTAAGCCCCCCTGATCGCTGGCGCTCTCGGATCCGGATGATTGCTTCGCAATTGTTATTCCTTATCAGAAAACAGTTTTTCTACTAAAGCTAAAATTATTCACGTAACATGTATGTACTAAAAAGAATTCTGTTCGTTTACGCTTGTGCCTTCACTTTCCAAGCCCAAATATTTTATCTATTAGTATTATAAGTATTTAGATTAATTGATGAACAGAAGTAATTTTTTGAAGTACTCAGTTTTTTAAAATAACATTTATATTCTTATAACATTATATTGTTCAAACAAATTTGATGAGTTCACAACCATAATTTAATATTTTCGCTTACCAAACGGGTGGATATATTAAATACCATTTTTGCTTGCATCTCAGTGTGAATGAAGCTGATCGTTAGCTCTAAATCAGTTAACAAATCTCTTGAACTGTAATTTAAAACTGTATATTAATCTTATTTGATCAAAAATAATAATTGTAAAATAATTAATAAAATTAGAGCACCTTTCTAATAATTTTATCTTAAAATGCATCGCAGAATTACATTATAATAATAACAATAAAAAAAAACAATTCTCTTAGTTTTAAACTCTTGAATTAAAAGCGTAATAATAGCTGTGCAGTAGCTTTAAATTAGGGATACAAAAATATTTATAAAAAAACAGTACCTTTACGACTTTATTTATTTCAGACTTATGATACTGTAATTTCAACAAAGTAAAATTATTAAGTTTAAATTATATTCTAATAGAATCGAGAACTTAATCAGATGACAAAAATATAAGTTAATAACCGCAAGAAAAAAATATTGGGATATCTGAAATAAAGCATTTTTTAATTTTAAAGCACAGAGAAAAATACGGACCATTCTGAAAAATTTTGATTTAATGATTGGATCTTTATGTTCTAGATCTCAATCTTAACACTAGAAAGACGGAAAATTAGCATATATCTATATTGCCCAAAAGCAGTCAAAATGACTGCATTGTGAATGCGTAAATAAATCTATTTAAAATTAATTTTTAACATTTATTGTATTATTTACAGTTTTACAACAAGTTATTAGTAAATATTAACAATAAAAAAATTATATGTTGCGCAAAAAGTCACAAAATTCTAAGAAATTGCGTCATTATATACATCATTGTTTTTCTAATTGAAATTAAAAGCAGTCAAAATGACTTTCTTAGACAATCTAGTGTTAATGATTTGAGGGAGTGATCTCTGCTAATTAATAAATGCAGATAATATTTTTGAAAAAAAAATTGGACACAAAAACGTTCCTTCTTTGAATAAACATACATATTTTTTTCAACTGATCTAGAAATGATCACGTATCAACTGATGACCAATTGAAAGTAAAAGATTATAAATAGCAGCGTTGCTTCAAACAAAATCTTGAAAGAGTATGCCAAACGCTTTATCATTGTCATCAAGTCACATCTGTTGTTGACTTATTTACGAGTCTTATTAAAAGAAGCAAACTTACGAGAAAGACAGAAAGAGGCATTTGAGGAAGAAAACAGTTCTCAGACAGAAATTCTCTATCACATTCTTGAAAGAGTATGTCCGATGCCTCCAAACAGTCATCAAATCACATTTGTGGTTGCCTTATTTAAAAGTTTCATCAAAAGAAGCTAATTTACGAGAAGGACCAAAAAAGGCATTTGACGATGAAAGCAGTTCTCAGACTGACTTTCTTGATCACATTCTTGAAAGAGTATGTCAGATGCCTCAAAACAGTCATCAAATCACATTTGTGGTTGCCTTAATTGAAAATCTCATCAAAAGAAGCAAATTTACTAGAAGGACCAAAAAAGGCATTTGACGATGAAAGCAATTCTCAGACAGACTTTCTTGATCACATTCTTGAAAGAGTATGTCAAATGCCTCAAAACAGTCATCAAATCACATTTGTGGTTGCTTTATTTGAAAATCTCATCAAAAGAAGCAAATTTACGAGAAGGACCAAAAAAGGCATTTGACGATGAAAGCAATTCTCAGACAGAAGTTCTTGATCACATTCTTGAAAGAGTATGTCAGATGCTTCAAAACAGTCATCAAATCACATTTGTGGTTGCCTTAATTGAATATCTCATCAAAAGAAGCAAATATACGAGAAGGACCAAAAAAGGCATTTGAGGATGAAAGCAGTTCTCAGACAGAAGTTCGCGATTACATGAGTTGTAACGTATTTTAAAACATGCTTACCTAATTTCATAATAAAAGAAGCAAATTTACGGGCAAAACTAAAGAAGGAATTTATCGAAGAAAGCTGTTCACAGACAGAAGTTTCTGATCACATTAGTCTTGAAAGGCTATGTCAGACACTCTACCACCGCCAGCAAGTCTCATTTGTGCTTAGATAATTTGAGAGTCTCTTAAAAAAAGGCAAATTTACGAGCAAGACCAAAAAGAGTAGTTCTCAGACGAAAATTCCCGATCACATAAGTCATGAAGGAGTTTGTCAGACGCTTTACCACAATCATCTAGTCACATTTATGCTGACCTAATTTGGGAATCTTCTCGAAAAAAAAAACTTCGAACAAGACCATAAAAGGCATATTCTGTGATTTAAATAAAACTTTGGCAATAAACTATAAAAAATTTGGAGATTAAATTTGTTCATTTTGTTGTTCCAACACTTTAAGTCAGAAATCAAATTTAAATTGGTTTAATGTCAACACTTTAACGAATTCTCTGGTTTATAGCAAACATTTTCTACTTGAGTCTATCTTTTCTTTAATTCATTTAATTCAAAATTGTTTTTTTTCAGGATCGAGGATCTAGAATTAAATGCTCCTCTTGTAAGATAATTGTTCACGAAGATTGTAAGAGTATACTAACTGATAAGGTAATTTTAAAAATTATATTTATATTGCTGTTTTCATTTTTATTTATTCATTTTAACAATTTTTCCTTCAAATCACCTGCATGATGTGCTTATTTACTTTAATTAGTTGTTTTAAAATAGTTGTGCTCCAAGGTAACTTAAAAATATAAATATTTCAAGTAAATTTAGAAATAAATAAACAAAAAAAATCATCAGTGTTCGCGTATTGATTCGATTACAACCAGTGATATTTTTTTCGAGAAGTATAATTTATTTTAAGTTGCATGCACAAGAAAATTAAGAGGCTATAGTATTGATGCGTTTATTGCATTGAAAACGAAAATAAACTTTGAATGCATTTCTCTTGAAAGATAATTGTATTGTATTGATCGCAGTACAGTTTAAACTTCATTGAAAATTTGCTTAAATATCAGAATTTTAAATTATGTTATGTCCAAAAATGCTTCTCTGTTTGAAATATGTATTAATTTTTTTTTAAACTATAAAGAGTGTATAGGTGAAAAAAAATCCAAATTTCGCAAAAAAAAGTCTAAAAAAGGCGCCAAACATTTTACTACATGAATTTCCGTTTATACTACATAATATGCATCAATAATGAGTGAGTGGAATTTTTTTTCACATTTGTGCGCTTTAATCCTTTTTATACGTATTACAGCAATGCACATAATTCCGGCATAGAAATTCATGACTAAATATAAAATATGAGAATTCCTGCATGACTTTATATAGTCCTTATTTATACTGAATAGGCATAACATTACTAGAAATTACTTTAAATTCAAACTAAGAGATCAAGCATTGCGTAAAATCTATTTTACCGTAAAATCCATTTTTACCTTATATTATTCAGTAAATTTTACAATAATATTTATTTGATTAGAGTGAATCAGTGTAATAACATTTTACGGTAATAATTACAGTAAAAATATGGAAATAGAATTTCTTGTTCCAGTAAAATGTACCGGATATATAATTAACTGCAATGCGCATATTACCGGCATAATAATACACGACCAACTATGAAATATGATAAATACTGCATCACTTTATATAGTCCTTATTAATAATAATTAGACATAACGTTACTAGAAATTACTTTAAATTCAAATTAAGAAATCAAGCATTCCGTGAAATCAATTTTACCGTAAAATTTATTTTTACCATAAAATATTATACCGCTCATTTTACATTAATATTATAGTAACATTTACATAACATTATAGTATATTAGGGTAATAATTACCTTAAAAATATGGAAATAAAATTTCTTGTTCCGGTAAAATGTACCCGCTGCCGGAGTGACGATAATTTAAAAAAAAATTGTGAAATTTCAAATCATGCTTTTCTTTACTGATTCATTTTCGACATAGTATTGTGCTATATCAGATTTTGAACTTCATTGGTAGTATATACTTTTTTTTATATACAATTTTTATACTTAATTTCAAATTTTTGTTTTTGAAAGAAAAAAACTTTTTTATAATTTTTTAAATTGGGTTATTTTATTTATATTTATTTATCCGTTTTATTTTTATTATTGTTATTTTCTATTATTTTTTTATTTTGCATTATTTAAGCTCTTATTGTGCTGTTATTCCTTAAGGGTCGAGATTTTCTTGTTTACTTTTAGAATAAAGAGTATTTGCGTGATAACGTGTTTTCTTTCGGGAAACACTATTTTTTTGTTCCTTGTGATATTGATTTTTGTTCATTGTTATTCAAAAAGCTTTGCATGGAAGTTTTGGTGCTTTTTTTCAAACTTTGTTTGTAGGTTTTAGGTAAATATACCATAAAAAACAGAATATATAATTCAAATTTAGTAAAATATGCATACATATTGTATGTTTGGAATATTATATGAAATTACGGTATTTAAATGATCGTTAATACTTCAACTCACTATTGTTGCTTGTAAATATTGCAATAATTATGAAGAAATAAGATTACAATAACTCACTAGTTTTAACTATATAGTACGAACTAGTAAATATTCTACTGCGTTTAGCATAGCTACTTATCCAAACTTTTTAATCATTAGCTTTTGAAAAATTATAAAAACAAGTTTCGAAGCACTTTTTTTATATCATTTAATTATATAAATGACCATTCTCAGATCTATAAATGACCTGCCTTACAATTTTTGAAACTTTGTTATGTAAACCAGGATTTATGGTTATGAAATATTAGTCATTTTATAATTTCTTTATGCTTTGGTTTTATAAACTTCTGGCTGAAAAAAAAAAACAATTGCTGTATATCTTATAAATTAATAGTAGTACGTTAAAAAATCTATAATATTCATTCATTTATCAGGTTGGAAACGGAATGGCCTGGTTGATAGGGCGTTGGGCCTATGACCAAGAGGTCGAGAGTTCTATCCAGGGCCATCTATCCGTCCAAAAGGTCGTGAGTGCCGGATGAAGACTCTCCGCTTAGTAAATACTGACTGGTCCACGTTAAATCCGTTGGGTCTCAAAGTCCTCCTTGTTTCCATAACAAATCATTCCTTTCGGGGTACTGAATTGGAGATTGGTCGTTCTCTGGTTCAGGTCAAAATTATGATCTTCAGATGAGTTACCTTTTATATGGGTTGTGACGTATGGGTGTGGCAGAAGTCGAATTCTTGGCAATAGATGGCTCAATTGTAAAACAAGATGAAGCGCACTACTACTGCCTTAATGGCATACAACAACAACATTAATCAAGATATATATTAGGCATAACATTACTAGA